TTCTGCCGTGCTTTTGTCGAACTTAATTCCTGAATTTAGTTCGGCACGGCAGAAGCACGATGTCTGAACTTGGCCTAACATGAAACTAAACGAAAGAAACATAAGCAGTTCGACGCGTGATGGGTAACACTTACTCGGTGGCTCAAGAGAGTTACAGCAAAACGAAACTACAGCTAAAATCTACGGTAACCGTTACAAGGACGCTGATTGCGAAAGACTGATAGAATACGCAAATACGTAAACAGCGATGATTCATGCATATCTAAGCACGCGCGGGCTCAAAATAACGCCCGTTCTTTTGTGAACGAAACAATAGGTATGACAGCTTCTTGCTTCTTGTAACAAATGACTTGCTAACTTTGCATGAATTAGACTGGGCGCGCAGGAAGTGAAATATCGCGCTGAGCACAAGTAGACAGGTGTAGTGTTGAAATATTTTAGCGAGCCTTGATCTCGGTGGATAACCGCTTAAGAAATATCCGGAAATATATAAGGAAACAAAAAAACTTCTAATGTTTTTCAAGTATTTGGCAAAAAATTCAAACAAGTCGCGTTGCAAATTTCGCGCCTCACATAAGTCGCTGCTTGTTCAAGCGGCGGAGCTCACATTCTCGCCTTAAACAACCCCCGGCTTATTTAAGCGTTTATACGGTAATGTAAGTTTGCATCCTGTGTAATCTGCGGCTTATTTTCCTCGTACAAATGGTCCTGTAATAGTAACACTAGACTGTTGACAGCCTCTCTTTTTTTAACGGTCTCACCCTAGCGTATATAACAGTAAACAAATTAACATTTTATCACTTCGAACTAAAATTGCGGAATGTGCGCCCCTAAATATATATCTCTCTCTTTGGAGCTATTTCCGTTAACATTGGATTTAGAGCGAGTTCCTCAAGCACCGGTCAACCCAGTCGCCAACATTATTATGTTTGCTTTGCTGTTTTGCTCCTGCTGCTGCTCTTAATCCCATCTAGCGCAAAAACCTTGAGGTAACTTTTTAAATTTTGTTTATCCCAGTTTTCTATTGTAGTGTGCGTGCCAAGGCTCTCTACCTGTTGGCCTAGCTAGTTCTCTGTTTTCGGTTTGCTAGTTTTATGTTGCCTTCTGTTTGCCCGGTCGTTATACATTTTGTTTTCATTTGAGCTTAAAAGCTATTTCTGCCCTGGCCTTTATATTATTCATTTTCCTCTGGTCATGAGCGTAATTTGGCGCTTTTGTTTTCCCCATGACCTTTTGTTGTTTTGCATATGCTGTTTGTATTTATTTGAGCGGTCCCAAAAGGTTTCCGCTCTGGTCACGAGCGGACAGTCGAACCTGTATATAACGGCCCTGTATTAAGAGGTCACCCTCTATTAAGCGGCCAGTTTTCAAAGTCCCGAATTTTCGCTCATACAAAGGCTGTATTTGTTACCTGTATTAGGCGCACACCTCTATTAAGCGGCCACGGCCACCCTGTAGCAGTCCTATGTTTGTCTTTCCTTGTTATTTTTACCTGTATTAAGCGGCCACTTTGAACGTAACAACTATGAATTTAAACTGAACTTAACAACTATGAAATGCTGGAATGAGATATTTTGCTGTGAATTGTAAGTCATAGAAATACGGTACTGTGTACCGTAGAAGAGTAGAGGACAATTTATTGCACAGTACTTTTACGCAATGTTACGAATATTACACTGTTATTTTATAAGTTGGCACTGAACTTTGTTCAAAGCATTGATCGCTTGAAAGAGTTTTGATTGTCCTATTGTTTCCTTGCATGAAGTGCTTTTGTAGATACGCCATTAAATTTGAAGTTAGACGACTCCCAGTGAGTATTTTTATTGATCCTGTATTAAGCGGCCAGTTCCTCAAGTCCCGAGGGTGGCCGTTATATACAGGTTCGACTGTAATT